ACACACACACAGCAGGTACACACAAAAACACACAGCAGGTACACATACACACAGGTACACATTTTCTCTGTATATTTATGTGAGGACCTTCCCTGGTCCAACCTTAAGCAGGTTGAGGGGACAGAAAGATGGTAATTTAAACCCACCCACAATAAATGTAAGATCAGCTACACTCACTGTGTGTTTGTGTGTTACAGGTAGTGAAGCCTTTAGCTGTCATCGGGTCTTCACCCTCCTCTTCCTCCTCCTCACCCTCCTCTCCGTCATCACATGTTCCTGCAGCTGCTCACCTGCCGCCAACTGCACACACACAGACACGCTCAGGTGTCCACACACACTTACATGCAGCAGGTACACAAACATGCTCAGGTGTCCACACACACACAGAATGTACACACAGACATTTTGCAGAGACCATCTGTGTGGATCTGTGTTGTTGTTTAGATTCTGGAGACACTGTAGACACAATCAGACCTGTTTCCTCAGATGTTTGACGTCAGAACGTGTTTAAAATGATCTTTTTCTGTTCAGCAGCCATGTCAATCCCAGCTTCCTCTCCCTGGTTGGTTAATGAGCTGGGCGAGCCTCTCTGCACCGTGGTAGCTCCGCCCCCTTACTCCTACGACCCCAATGGCAGCGATTTACCCCGAGGTCAGAGGTCAACCAGCTGTACTCTCACACACCCGCGCTGATCTGCTGTGGTCACTCATGTTACTGTGTGTTTGTGTGCAGACTGCAGAGTTCTTCAGTATTACTTCAACTTGGGCATCCAGGTGAGTTCCTGTGACACTGTCTCTTTAAATATTCAAAATAATATAAAATATTTAAATTTCCCCACCCCCACCCCCAGTGGTACTGGCAGCAGCAAACGACGTTCCCCTCCCCCTCTCCTGAGAACCACTACACCTACCAACCCTACCCCCCATACCTGAGCCAGGAGCCTCTGCACGGTAAGACTTGTCTCTGATTGGTGCAGGTCTGACAGGTGAGCTGATCACCTGACCTCAGGACAGGAAGTGATTATCAGAACAATGATATCACAAACAGAAAGGTGACCTGAATTGGGGACAGGAAGTACAGTTGGTGTAGTAGTTCACAGGAAATGGAAGCTCTACTTCCTGTTAAGTATCAGACTACCTGTTGTTCTTCCCCCAGCTGTCCCCCAGTCCTCCCATCAGCCCCCCTCTTCCTACCCAGAATCCACCAGGGCAGGAGATGGACAGACGGACGGACACGGCGGTGGTCAGTGATGACAGAACAGCTGACACCGACATGATTGAAATGTTCATCGTTTGATTTGTTTTGTCTCCCTCACCCCGCAGGCCCTGCCCCATCGATGGAAGGCTCCACCTCCTCCATCGGCCCTGCAGCTCCAGGCTCCGCACCCTCCACTGCTCTTCTGTACCAGGAGCAAACGCCTCTCCCCCCTCCCCCTATGCTGCACCTGCCATATGAAGCCCCGCCCATCACCACCTACCTGCCCTCTGCTCCTCACCCCACCCATCCTCCTCCAACCCACCTCCCCCATCACTCCTCCTACCACTGCCTCCCACCATCTGTCCAGTGGGGAACGCTGCAGACTGGAGGCCACACCCCACGGGTTTACTGTCCCGCCCCTAATCCAGCCCACGTGGTTGCTTATATTACAGCCCCACCCCCCCACCACACAGCCACACACTACATCCCCCCCACCGTCTGAGACGCACATCCTGCTGAAACATACCTCACGAATTAGCATGAAGCTAACGAGTAGCGTGCTAACACAAATTCCCATTGGCAGAAAAACCTGAGAAATGTTCAAAATATAACAATTTTGAAAACAAATTAAAACTTAATTTAAATATTTAGGTAAAAAAGTTTTGGTTAGATAACTGAACTTCCAGTAATGAAGTATTTCTGTTTGCACTTTAGCGTGTTAGCTTCACATTGAAAAATGTTAAAGATTTCTGCACTTCTTATTTTGTTGCCAAAAAGCTTTATTTACAAACCTTACTCAGCCACAATCACTTCCTGCTCGGAACGTTCAAGTCGAGAGCGACAGTTCCCGACACGACTAAGAAAAACAGATTTTTGTTATTCAGTTAATTGAGTTTGTCAGCCAATCAGTGAGAGGGGGCGGGGTGTGGTCAGTCCCTGTTTATTGATGAGGGATGTATTTATGTTGACGTTTTGTTCAAACTGCCGATGGTGAAAAGTTTTGTTTCTGGGAGAATAAAGTTTGTTTCACCAGCAGACGACAGTTTGTTTCATCAGTGACAAAGATCACATGGTCACATGGTTCAGGACCATAGCTCCTCAAACCTGAGTCAGACTGAAGCGTTCAAACTGAACTGAGTGTGAAAATAAAGACGACAACTCGTCTCCACTTCAGAGATGAAGCTCAAATATCTCAGACACAAACGCTGCCATCTTGTGGTGATGACATGATTTACAGTCAGAGTCTGTGCAGTGATGGTGGAGTGGAGCCAATCACAAATCAATTCTCAGCTGTCAATCATGACGTCTCCGCCTGTTTCTACATCATCAATAACTGATCAAACCAAACTGATGAGAAACACTTGAACAAACTTCAGAGAGAGAAGAACGAGCTGAAACGACAGAAACATCTTTACAAACATTTATTTAACGTCTGCTTTGAGTTTCTGGGGCCTGAACTAGAATCAAGGTTACGAGCTAACTTCACGAATAACCAGTTCCACGAGACGTTTAACCGTTTAACGAGTTATGTTACCACAGCAACTGTGCTCCGAGCTGTTTCTATTCCTGTGAAACTGCTGCTGTATAAGCACCGCCCCCAGACACATAACACACAATGTAGATTTTACTGAAGCTTTACTTTTTGAATACAATTATTTTGTGACTTTGTTTTCTCACTCAGCGAAGATTTTCCTCATGAACAATACAAGATGTTGAATATGCTACATTAGCATACATCACTTCGTTGAGTCTGGATGACAGGATGAGGGACTGAAGCCTGAAGTGACAAGAGTGACCTGCTGGTGGCGCAACATGAAAAGTCAGGATTCTTTCTCTGAGCAAAGTTTATGTTCAGGTGTGAACACACTCAGATCAGGTATAGACATGTGGAGGTGGTCTGAGCCACGTGTCCAACAGTGAATTCAAACCGTCCTGGTCCACGTATGAAGGACGTCCTCAGCTCCTCGTTTCCACCTTTCACTGACGTGACACACACACAGACACACACACAC